AAAAAAAAAAAAAGAAAGACTGTGTCTTCTGTCTGGGACTTGTTCTTTCTGTCTCTCTGCTTCCCCATTTGTCTCTTTCTCTCTTGGTTGGATTGCTTGCCTTAGGGAAGCCAACTGCCATTTTGTTAGGACTCTGAGGCAGTCTATATAGAGGCTCACGTGATGAGGAACTGAGGCCTCCAGACAAAACAAAGTGAGGGACGGAGGCCTGCCAACAACCTTATGTGTGTGAGCTTGGAAGAAAACCCTCTAACCCCAGATGACTGGAGCCCTGACTGAGGGTTTGACTTCAACCTCATGAGAGACTCTGAGCAAAAACTAGCAGCTAAGTTGCTCCTGAATTCTGATACTCAGTCACCATGTGACATAATAAATCTTCGCTGTTTTAAGGTGTTAAGTTTTTAGGCAATTTGTTACACAGCAATAGATAACTAATACACCAGGCCACTGTCATTTTATCTATGCACTCAATAAATTATCCACTTAAATATCACCCATCCATTTTTCATCCATCTATCAAAATATCCATCCAAACATTCATCCGCCCACCCAACCACCCATCCACCCATCCATCCATCCACCCATCCACCCAGCTACCCATCCATTAAAATATCTGCATAAACATCATCCATTCATCAACCAACATCTACCTAATAAATACAATGGTCCATTCATCCTTCCATCCATCCCTCCATCCCTCCATCCATTCTTCTATCCATCCATCCATCCATCCCTCCATCCCTCCATCTATCTATCCCTCCATCTATCCATCCCTCCATCCCTCCATCCATTCTTCTATCCATCCATCCATCCATCCATCCATCCATCCACTCATTCCTTTACCCATCCCACTACCCTTCTCTAAAGCCACATATGGGAATCCCCAGAAGAGAGGGCTGAGGATTACTCCTTCCATGCCAGCCCTTACCTGAGCTACATCTAAATCTGTCTCCACTGCTTCAGTGTCTTTCCCAGAAGTGAAGAGTCTGTGCACATTCTCTGTGCCCACAGGTAGTTCATCTGGGAGATCAGCCTGTGGAGAGACAGAGGAGAGACTTAAGGAAATCTTGAGCCTGGAAGGTATCAACAGTAAGACAGTCTGAGCTCAAGGGTAGAGGTGGGGGTCAAATGCCAGGCATCAAGGCACCAAGGGGGACCAATGGCAAATGCAGATGAGTTTTGAACCTGGGTGTTCAAAAGTCAGAGCATCTGGGTGTATGTAGGCTGAAAGGCCAAACATGGAAGGATAGAAAGATCAGAGCTTGGCTGGGCTCGG